GTAGTAAACATGCTTTATTGTCAAAGATTAAATTGATCCTTATTGACAAAGCTAAGTCTTAAATATATCAAAATGAAAAAATCCATTAAGTGGACACAAAAATCAAAATAAAGATTCCAATTTTTTTTGGTCAGTTACCCTAATTTTAAGGCAACTGAAACACCGACCCCTATTTTCTTATGTATTCACATAGTAATAATTCTGAGGCGACTGGAACATATTGTAACGTATATGTAAAGATTGATTGATTGATTGAACTGTTTGCTTGAGAATTATGGGAGATGCAACAAAAGTATTACTTAGTGGTGAATAGAAAACATTTGATAAAAATGTTAAAATGAACAGGAAATAAAATAATAAACCAATTTTCCAAGTAATCTATGTCTCCATTTCTGCATGGTGTTCAGCACAGTGGACAGTTCTTCTACTTCATTCATATATTCCTCCACCAACCTGTTCTCATACTGACAATATACCTTTCCCGAGGGGTTAATCCTCGGGTTAATCACTCCCTGATATCGTGTCACAAATTCGTCCGAAATCCCCGAAATATTTTCGAAATCCTACCGGAATCTCCGAAATACTTCCGAAATCCGCCAAAATCTCTCAGAAATTTTTCCGCAGACCAAAAAATACTAATACACTTCCGAACAGTCTAAAATCAAATTAAAATATTTGCGAAATCACCTGAAATTCTCCGAAATCACCCGAAATCCTTCGAAATCACCCGAAATCAACCGAAATCCCTCAAAATCGCTCTAAATCTGAAATCTTGTCACAGTGTATAATTCCTCAAAATCTTTCCGAAATCCTACCGAAATCCTACCGAAATCACCCGAAATCCCTCAAAATCGCTCTAAATTCGAAATCTTATCACATTTTTCCTTAGTGAATAACACCTCGACCTTTCCCTCTTGTTCCAAAAACAAAGATTGTGCATCTTGGGATGTCATAGAAAACGGCAGCACCATATATTGTTCTGTTAGCGTTTTGGACATCTTTAATTGGTTTTTTCAGGGCCAACTTGGTGTATCTTCACTGTCCGCACTTTTGGAGGTTCTATGGATATAATTCCTGACCATATTTGTTCTATAGACCGTCAGATAGTGACATATTTAGGTGCCCTGTTTTCGCATACAAGCCTCGAACAGGGTCTAAAAATACATCGATTTTGAATAGGGTGAAGGTATTTTTACAAATGGCCCCTGGGGATAACGTATGGAAAATTCGATTTTCCTTAACAGAAATTAAAGACGTCCTAGTGTCCATATTTTCTCCCAAGCCGTATTCACCAAAGGATTAATTAATAGAACCTGGCTTTGTGAAATCAAAGAAGGGGATGTTGCACGTGGCTAAAGGTTTGAAATGACGGCGAAATCTAAGGAACAATCGAGATTTTGGGCGATTTTTCCACACAAGTTCAAATCTGCAACTTCGGTAGCAAGAAAACATATTTTCTTGAGTGTCGCTAACGGAAAATTAAGGGTAATGTAAGTAAAATCGAATTTTCCATATGTTATCCCCAGTAAAAATACCTTCAACCCGAGCTTCAACCTACTCAAAACCGATGCACTTTTCAACCCTCTTCGAGGCTTTTATGCGAAAATGAGGCACCTAAATATGTTACTATCTGACAGACTACCTACTAGGGCAATCGAGAATATGTAATACAATGTTAATTTCAGGTGGGACGGAACATAATATGTTCCAGTTGCCCACATCATATAGGTACGTTCCAGTTGCCTCTGTACGTATTTTTACTGGGGCAACTGGAACCCAAGCTGTGTTTCCATTACTTGAAATTCTAAGCTAAGAACAAACCTTGCTTACCTTCCCAATATCTTTCTCTTACAGAAAAAGACATCATCCATTTTTATCCAAGAGACCAAAGGCAAGATTTTTGAAGATAACAAAAACAAAGTCACAGTCTCATAATTTATTTGATTAGCTACACATGTTTCGCTCGATAGAGCATCATCAGGCCTAAAACAATTTCTCTTACAGTTAAACATGCTCAATGCAATATTATTAACTGTAATCACTCACTAATCATTGATTGAAATCCAAGCTTCTGTCACTTGGTGTTATGATACACTTTGTAAAAGTAACAAATTTCAATGTTTTTCTCAGAAAATAATCGGGCGTCGTTCTGTCTACTACAGGCAGGGTATGAATGAGACACACTTGTAACAAATTTTTATGTGTGGAAAACTCAAATTCCAATAATAAACCAAAAACTCGTACGCTGTGTCAGCTAAGCAAGTTGACCTTATTTGGAAATACGACGACGGGGAATACTTGGAAATACTGTCCAAATTTGAGAAGTATTCCCAGAAACTGAAAATCACTGTACTTTTTTTCGTGAGTGGTTTACCTCTAGGTTTTAGTGTATAGTTTTCTTAAATCTAATTAGTTATATGGAATATTTTTTCAGTAGCATGCTATACCTATATTTAATTTTTGCATTGGGACACCAATGCACATGGCATGCCCATTAAGCTATTCCTATACCCCCGCGTCTATCACTCATTGGGTATAAATTTGAATACGGATTTTAATCTTTTTTGCACTTTAATATAACTTTAACTTATGAGTGTAGGAAAATGGAACAACTGTAAAATATAAGGGCGGGATTGTCTTTTCCTCTGTTCTCTCGCTCCTTCCTGCGGTCCCTCTTTTTGGTCTCGTGTCTGCGTCGCTGTTCTTCAGATGTTAGGAGTAGACAGTAGAGATTACACAGTAGACTGTTTTGACGGACGTACTATTTCATATAGGTACCGGGTGATTGTCTATATTTTGCGATTTTGAAAATTCCCTATTGCTCGCGCGCCTTTTTTACTTGTCTCGGCGAAACCATCCAATCGACCCCCCTAGTTTTTTTTTTGAAAATCAAACAAGAGTGATAGAGGTACAACATATCAAAAATTCAAGCAATTTCACCGAAACCACTTTTCAATGTAAATTGTGCGTGGTCCTTTTGCCTATTCAACAAGCGGTACTGAGAAATTGCTGCCGACTATTGGAAATTATTTATGCTGTTGTTTTTTGCAGGAATGATGAAAAAACTGCCCAGGACTATAAAGTTCAAGGCGGCTCAGTTCTGCATTTAGTTCTGGCACTGCGTGGAGGAGTAACAAAAATGTGATCTTTTTAGGAATTCTGTTTCTATGATTGGTCATCTCAAAACTGATTTAATTTAATTTATACTGTTGCCCTTTAGTTACTTTATAATTTAAGTTAGGAAAAGAATAAAATAAATGTGATGATTTCTTCACTTCAAATAACAAGTTGAAAAATAAAACAATTTTTTTATGCAAATTTTTTTTATTCAATAACATTTATCACACCAATTTTAATATACAGAACATGGAAGTGTCCATAAATGGCTACTCTATAACATAATAATATGGTTCTGCAAAACTTGGAAAATTTTAAAATTATGTACAAGTTGGAATTTTGTCTTATAAATTTAGTTAACATAGTGAAAATAGCCATTTATGGTGAAAGACCAAAGTACAGGCGTTTTATCAAGCTGAATATTTTGTTGATTGTTGAGTAGTTTTACTATGAAACTCCTGTACCATAATGGACAAAAATATACATTTAGTACAATATAACCTGTAAAACTTCTCTAAATATCTGGAAGACAAAAAATATACATAAAATACACAACAATATACTTAAACGAAATTATTTTTTAAATGGCTAACAATTTTATATTTTGATTAATTTAATAATACTGCTAAGAGTGGACATTGTATTTGACTTATTTTTAATATTTATAATATCTTAACAAAGCTAACACTACGAAAATTGTTTATATAAAATATATTCATATGAGCATTAAAATTAGCTTAAATTTAATTGAACATTTAATACAAAGTTCAGGAAAGGGTTTTTACTCTTGATTTTGTGCATCATAACATTTATTAATTTAATATTAATAATAATTGTCGTCAATATTTGGTATACATTTGTTACACAGTTTGAGCTTGGCGCATAAAGGACTTTAATACAATCCAGATTTAACTGTACAGATCAGCTTTATTTGAAGCTGAATGCACCCAAAACTGGATTGTTCATTGCATTACCAGACAAAACAACATTTCTTGCAATGATTTCTGAAGATGGAAGATTTCTTTTGAGCTTTCCAGGGAGCTTATTGAGAAGATGACTTTACTGAAATATGCTATATATTTGCTTTTCAGATTTTATTAGCTTTCATATAATTTCGTAAGTGTCGCGGTATGAAAATTCTCTGGCCTACTTGGCCAATCAAATTTGACACATTTTCCAATGTATTTTTCAATGTAGCAATACCTGTGATGAGTTGTAGAACAATCTGAACGATAGGTACTTTGCTTGGTACTGATTGTCGCCTTATAGAACTTCAAAACCATAAAAATAATATCATCTTGTGAATTTCATTACATTTCAAGACGATATATTATTGTCGCATAACTTTACATTATCCAATAGAAAAGTTTGACTGGTACTTGTAATGTGTGCATTCATTTTCAAGTTACAGATTCCTTCATACATATCTACTTACTGATGTGTCTGTCTACTTGAGTATCAATGGTATCTTTAGGTATTTAGTTGTAGATACATACTAGCAATTTTCCTGAACTTAATTTAATATCTTCAAGTAAAGTATCAACATTTAAACCATTTCTCTTCATAAACGGAATGGGATATCTTAAGAACGACAAATTTATTGGCACAGTCAAGTGAAATATATAATTAGTGTATATTTGCTTTAAAAATCCTATAGGTACACCTAATAAATATGATGATTAGCTACAGCTCCACGTTAAGTATCTTACTACCCTTTTTTTTACTTAAATCGCAATTTCACTAAAGTCATAAGAACAATGCAATTATTTGTGACATTTACTAACTGCCTTCCGGTTAATCATATATACTTACTTTTGAACTTTCAGCTAAACACTCAGCGACAGTTTTCATAATAATTTGTACTAAAAATTAACTTATCCTAACTAACCGTCTGCCAGACTAGGAGTTACCCAGCCGTATTTGTCATGTGTTCGCACTAGTGATCGAAAACTCTCCTCGGCTGTTCTCCTGCTAAACACTTTTTGTCCCTTACTTTTACGTTGTATCCTGCCTTGACCTTTCACTACACTAGCTGCAAACTGCATTATAACCGCTTCAACTGTGTACGCTGAAGCCCAGCCTCTAGGTGTTAGTAGTTCCATGCAGATTGCACCACCTAAAAATTTCGTTAGAATTTGAAAATTTTCATCAAAAGTTACTACTTCAAAGTTTCCACTAGGGGAACATTAAGCAACTTGTGTGTTTCTATTGATTGTTGCTTAATAATGTTTCGTTTCAGAAACAAAGCCTTAACGCCTGGCTTTTTCAATTATCAACTTGCCAATTAACTAGTAAACTCCTAGTATAACTATTCTATTATGAAACATCGCACTCTTACCTAAAGTCTCGTTTAATCGTTAATTGGAAAACTAAAAGTACATATATATCTTGGAGATTTACCTTCCATAACAAATCCTTTTTCGATCCTAGGGGAAATAAGTCTCATGAATGGCGGTGCAAATGGAAAATTGTCTGGAAAGATTAGGTGCAGCAATATGTAGCGAATACCAAGTTCAGCCATGTCTTGCATGAGATCGCTTTCGTGATCCACTTTGTAAATTTTCACGTACCATTCGAATAGATTGTCTTCGACTAGTTCGACCGAAAACACGGGTTCCTGTTTAGAGTTTTGTAATCTAGAAAAGACAATTTACGTGTGAATAAGTGTATTATAGTGTTTTTGCGGTTACCTTTGTAAATCGCGAAATTCTTTCATCAGTCTTTTGGCGCGTACAGTTTTGTTTTGGGTGGCAGTCTCATCTTTTTTATTTTTGGCGCTGAATCCAGGCGATGGTGCTTGACTTGAGCTGGCTGGTGATACGGTATCCTTATAACCTGGGAACATAATATAACTTATTAGGATATCATTTACTAACTCTTCATGAATGTTAGAGATAATTATTATCTTCAGTTTTGTCAAATTACGGATAAAGTGGCGGAAATTGGACAAGATTTTTCTGATCGTTAAAATTGAAACTTCAAAAAAAAAAGGCTTGTCGGGCTTGTCATGCAAATCTTATGGCGTTTCCGATTGTCAGGTACTATTCTTCAACATATTTGAGGACAAACAACAAATTTATCAGGTTCCAATTCCACTCCTTTTCTGTTCTCATTCGAGAATTTTCACCCCAAGAATAAAGTTACAGGGAACGAAAATTATCTGAAGCTCAAGAATGCTTTTGATGGAAACAAAATTGTAGCTCCAGATGTTACTTAATTCTTTGGGGTCTACGACTTACACTTCCCATGCAGCCGTAGTACCTATATCTTCAAAAAAAACAGATTAATTCACCTGTCATCAGTTAATCGAGTAGGTACCTAGAAAAGCACCAATGCTTCAAGAAAAATGTTATGGATTCCCAATCCCAACATAGGTTTTTGTCAACTTATCAATATATTTTCGAATATGTGGCTATATTAAGACATGATGTGATACTTTAGACTGCGATTTTAATGTTGCCGATATTTTTCTCATAGTACACAATTTATGACCATTCGATTCATCAACAGTTGCTTCTTCAAAATACCACGGTTGATTTCGACGAACTATTGACAAAAGCACTTAAGGGTATTGAATGCGCCGTTTAAAATATATTGTAACGCACGTCGAACTATACGACTATCCAACAAATTAATACTAATAAAGATGCGAGGTTCATCGCGATTATTGCATTGGGCTACTGTTGGGCCGGCTGGCGCTGGATCCTTTATGATAGCGATTTAAAATTTATCGCAAAACAGGCGGAGGAAAGAGCCATAGGGTTTGCTGCGGGTATAACAGAGACAGGCAAAATGACAAGAAGAATTAATTAAATTTCTACAAAAAAAACTAGATAATTTTTGGAATTCTGGTTTGCGCCATTGTATTGCTAACACACATAAGAATGGCGCTAACTAAAAAAAACACCATAAATTGATTAACTTTCTTGTTTTTTTTTCAGTTGAAATTACATTTCTGTAATTTTTCGAGAACTTGTTTCTATTATCGGATTTCTAAAAAGATAGCGCCATTCGTCCCTATATTATAAATCGAATGTAAAAAAGAAAGTTGATATAACTTCAATTGTTAAAAAATTAGGTTGAAATTGAGAATGCAATGCATTCCTTGTTTCATTCATCTCATTCCCACTAAGGAGTATTAATCGGAGCGGAAGAATACAATGATAGACTGCGTTAGGTGCTTCGTGCAGGAAAAAATATTTTGGCATTGAGGCGCATCCAATACCCTTAAGACTCCAGATTTAACTAGTAGGTAAAGAGATATCAAATACAGTAAACCTGAAGTTTGACCCCATCAATAAAGTAAATCGGATTCGTGTTTTCAAAATCGTTCACGTCACGAAATAAACGGCAGAAGTCAAGATCACGTAAGTATAAATAATTCTGAATTGGTTAGCCTATGTAACCGTTGTGGCAGAGATAATCATCGTGTTAAAGACTGGAAAACAGATCCAGATACATTAAAATGCGCTGATTGTGGGAAATGTGCGAAAAGTGTGCATTTGTTCTCTTTTGACTAATAACAATAGACATATACATTCATCAAGTGAACGATCAACTCGTGAAAGAACATGATTTACAATGCGAGGAAAATTTTGCTGTATTGATCGAAGGAAAATCCCAAAAGTTTGGATTCGACTCGGGTACACACTTCTACCAGTTTCTAATTACAATAGCACTTGATTTGAAAATAGATTTGCAGAAATCGAATATTGCTTTTCGATTATATACGAGAAATGTGTTAGGTATATCCTATTGGAAAAACGTACGCTTTCGTTAAACATAAAAATAAATCATGGACTGAAAAGCTCTACATCTAATTTATTCTAAACACCTAAGCTCTTATTTTGAATCACTTTTAGGTAGGATTTGGATCCGACATCTTGGATTCATCGCATGAAACAAATTGATCGTAGAATATCAAATACAAACCAGCCTAATACCGAGAAAATATGGAGGAAATAGTGCAACAGTTTTCAGAAATATTTGACGAAAGAATTTGTTTACTTCCAATTTATTCAATATCATTAAAACTTCCACCTGATGTTGAACCAACATTCCATGAAAAACGAGAAGTACCGTGTGCACTTCGAGAAAGAGTTGACAGAGAACTATATATTTTAAAAGCTGACGGTAAACGTCACCAATTGGGGTTCATCATTAGTTATAATTCCTAAACCAAATCGAGAAATGCGAAATTACCCGATTGGACGTATGGATGAAATCCTGAATAGTTTAGGAAATTTCAAATACTTGTGTGTAAATATATTTACACCTCCAAGCAGACGATTGTAGATTGTGGGGGGGGGGGGAGGCGTTTCGGCTTTCCAGCCGCTCAGCACTGCTACCTTTGCAGATATTTTGTACGTGACTCCACATCTTAAATTGTCTCCAGGAAGCGTAGACTTTTGCCGAAGGAAGCTATTTTTCTGGGTGACAGTTGGCCCACTTCTGGTGACAGTGTTGCCCCCTCGACGAATTTGAGCCTCTTGCAGAATTGGACTGGACATTGCTCTGCGGACTCTATTGCGTCTGAGCAGAATCTGCAGGAATCGTCTTCTACTGCTCTGCCCATTAACCTTAAGTGGTATTTCATCAGGCAGTGTCCTGTGAGCAGTCCTACGACGATTCTGATGTCTGGTCTGCTCATGTTTAGGAGCTAGTCAGCTCTTTTTGCCTGTCTTGTCCAATATGATAACAGTTGGTGTTTCTCCCATTTGTCGAGTTCTTCCATGATATGGCTTTTCATTAAGCCACAATAAGGCTCTGGTTCATGGTATGGTATTGGGGCACCTTCTTTTGCGAGGCCATCTGCTTCGTTTCCTTCTATGCCCCGATGACCAGGCAACCACATCAGCGTTACCTGGTTGTGTGTCGCTAGTGTTTTTAGGGTCTGTTTACACTCCCAGACTAGTTTCGAGGTGCATTTCAAAGCCTTTAAGGCTTTTAAAGCATCTTGGGTATCTGATGATAGTATGAAGATATGTTTTCCTTTAAGACGTTGGTTGAGACTCTCTTGTGCACATATGTTTACGGCAAGCAGTTCGGCTTGAAATATTGTAATATGTTTGCCCAATGCCTTGGAGGGCTTAAAGTTAGGGTCGGAAATGCCCGGTCCAGCTCTTTCCGTTAGTTTGGATCCATCTGTGTACCACCAGAGATGCATTGTATGCTTGTGGTAATTCGTTATTCTCCCATGATTAGCGCTCGTGTATTACCACTGCGAATGGGATCTCTAAGTCCAATCTGACCATATGTGGTCGCTTGGTTTGCTGGCATTCTCCAGTTTTATTTATTCAAAGATGCGCAGATGTCCCCTCAGATCACCAGGTTTGAACTTCTGTTTGGAATAGCCTGTGAGCGCTGAATATTGTCTCCTTTTTTACACATAGGTGAAGTGGAGGCTTTCGCTCTAGGGCTGCGGTGAAGCAGGTCGACATTGCTCCCGTTATTCCTAGGCATATCAGCCGTTGTACCTTGTTTAGCACGATCTGAGCGGTGACTTGCTGAGTTTTGGGCCACCATACATATGAGGTGTATGTGACCATGGGCTTTATTATAGTTTGGTAAATCCAGAATACCATCTTTGGTCTTTAGCCCCCAACCAGTTTGCGGCATGACCAGATGGCTCTAGTAGAGCATGTTTTCTCTAACTGTTTGTTCCAAGTGAGTGTTTGGTCCAGGGTGATCCCCAAGTATTTCACTTCGTTGGAAAATGTGTTGTAACGTTAAAGGTAGGGGATTTTAAATTTAGCTGACTTCTTCTTGTGAACGGAACAAGAATTGTTTTGCTTGGGTTTAGAGATAATCCCTCGCCTTCGCTCCAATTTTCAACTATGCTTAAGCACTTTGCATTCGGCTTGTTATTAAACGCCTTCATGTTTGCCCTTTATTATAATGTACAGGTCATCTGCATAGCCTATGACCTGGTATCCAGCACTACGCAGTCTGATAAGGATTTTGTCCACCACTAGTGTCCATAGTAATGGAGAAAAACCCCCTTGAGGACACCCTCTGACCATGGAAGCGGTAGCTGATGCTCCCTTTACTTCATCCGTAACGTAACGGTGTTTTAGCATCGAAGCCATCCATTTTACAATTGGGACTTCAACGTTCAACATTCCAGTAGAGCGGTCTTCTCAATAGAGTTTCGCTTATGATGTACGGGTCAATTGCTTTCTCCACCGAGTAGACGATGAAAGTAGCCTGATTCAAACCATTACTACACACTGTGGTACAAATAAAATGCACAGATTTTTGTTTGTTTGGTATTAAAACGGCCCCATCTGAATTTAACCGAATTATCGATCAGTTTTTAAACGGCTTACCAAAAACACTTTCATATTTCGACGACATAATAATCCACGGATTCACATGAGAAACAATATGATATGCACAGGCTATAGGACCTGACATTACCATTTGGTTGGTGGCTCAAAAAATAAAAGGAGGAAAATCATTGGTTATGCTGATGCAGACTGGGCAGGCGATGTTTCTGAGAGAAAAATCACAACTGCTGACAGAGAGCAAATCAATGGCAGCCCAAGAAGTCTTATCACGACCCACGACTCTATATTATATTGGCAATCACATCTTGCAAATAACCATGTTCAGTGTGAATTCATATACCTATAGACTTGAGACAAAAATTTTTAAGAGAGAAGATTGAAGAAAAGAAAATTTAAGTTGAATGTTCCTTCAACAGCTGTGCTCAGAGAGTCACGACTTTTTTACCTGAAAAACACCGAACACTGTAAGTAAGGAGGTAACTGTGCAATCAATCATACGTATGATGATCAACTCAAATAGGTAATGGATGTAACGGTCTCGATTGA